CTTAAATAACCAACACGTCAAAGAAGGAATCACAAGAAAATAGAAGAGACTGTAAGATAAATGGAAACAAAAATATAATATGCCAAAAATTGTTGGATGCGGCTAAGGCAGTGCTTAAAGGAAAATTTGTAGCTATAAACATCTACAATAAAAAAAAGAGAAACATCTCAAATCAATAACTTAGCCTTGTACCTTAAAGCACTGGAAAAGGAAGAGAAAACAAAGCTCAAAGCAAGCAGAAGGGGGCCAGCCCCATGGCTGAGTGGTTAAGTTCGTGCGCTCTGCTTCGGCAGCCCAGGGTTTTGCAGGTTCGGATCCTGGGCGGGGACCTAGCACCGCTCATCAAGCCATGCTGAGGTGGCATCCCACATGTCACAACTAGAAGGACCCACAACTAAAAATATACACAACTATGTACCGGGGGGCTTTGAAAGAAGAAGGAAAAATAAAATCTTAAAAAAAAAAAAAAAAAAAAAGCAAGCAGAAGAAAGGATATAATAAGTATTCAAGTAGAAATTAATAAAATAATAGATAAAATTGATGAAACCAAAATTGGTTATTTTAAAAGATCAGCAAAATTGACAAAACTTTAACAAGACTGATCCAGAGAAAATAAGAGAAGACCAAATTACTAAAATCAGGAATGAAAGAGGGGACGTTATTATCAACCTTACAGAAATCAAAAGGATTATAAGGAAATACTATGAATAACTGTACATCAACAAAAATGGATAAGTTCAATGAAATAGACATATTCCTAGAAATATAAAGCTACCAAAACAGATTCAAGAAGAAATAGAAAATCTGAATAGCCCTATAACAAGGAAAGAGACTGAATTTACACTTTTAAAACTTCCTGCAGAGACTTCCAGTTTCTGGTTTGACATGTAAGAAGCCTGGAGGCCTTCACCCCATCCTAACAAGTAAAAAGCTGAACAAACTGGAAAATCAACAGCTCTTCCTATATCCATAAGAGAAGTGAGGACCAGGACAAACCACGGCCCCCAAAATTGGAGAGAAAGCCAGGAAAATACAGAGAATCACAACTTACCAGAGCAGAAACCCATGGGCAAAAATCTCCGTGGGAACCAGTGCCAGGGTAGGGAAACCTGAAGTATAATTAACAAATTGCTGGAGGCTCAGTGTGGACAAGTCTAAGAGATAAAAGCTCTAGGGGACAAGGTTATCAGGGGACTCCTATACTTTCATGAGTTTTACCTCTTGGAGCTCTACCAGATTCTCACGGTGACTATCAGAGACAAATCCCCTTGCGCTTCTGGCAGGAGGAGCGGAAAGGAAATCACTTTAAAATATGCGAGAGCATTCTGTTCTTAACGACTGTCCTCAAGAGAAACTAGTCAATCAGAGCCTAACCTGGAGGGGTTTTATCAGGGCCTAACTGACCTGGGTGAAGGGAAATACCCAATTCCAGTCAGCTCTCCATTTCCATGCGGAGAGAGGGAAATACTCAACTCCAGCCCACTCTGGCCATTCTGTCCCACCTACGGGGATGAAGGTGGACTGCAAAGGACCGTGAAGTTCACAGTCCAGAGGCACAGGCTCACTAAAAGACTGAGACTTAATCACAGGAATACAGAATGCTCCCATTCCTCCCACACCTTACCAACACATTACCAAAGGCCTGTTTGTAGCAGTTCCATCTACCTAGCACATCATGTCTGACTATGAAGAAAAAATTATAAGGCATAAAAAAGGCAAAACCAAAATAAAACAGTTTGAGAGCAAGCACCAAATCCAGACTCAATATGGCAGAGATGTTGGAATTATCAGACCAGGAACTTAAAACAACTATGATTGAAAAGCTAAGGGCTGTAATGAATAAAGAAGACAGCATGTTTTCTTAAACACAAGCAATTTAAGCAGAGAGATGGAAATTCTAAGAAAGAATAAAAAAGAAATGCTAGAGATCAAAAGCATTGTAACAGAAATGAAGAATGCCATTGATGGGCTTATTGGTAGGCTGGACACAGCTGAAGAAAGAATCTCTGAGCTTGAGGCTATCTCAATAGAAACCACCAAAACTGAAAAGCAAAGAGAAAAAATATGGAAAAAAAACAGAACAGAATACCCAAGACCTGTGGGGCAACTACAAAGGTGCAACATACACATAATGGTAATACCAGAAGGAGAAAGACAGAAATGAATAGAACAAATATTTGAAACCTTAATGACTGAGAATTTTCCTTACAACGCTATATATCAATTATAATTTGTAATATGATTTGGTTGGACCTTGAGGACATTACGCTCAAGCGAAATAAGCCAGACAGAGAAAGACAAATACTGTATGGTATCACTTATATGTGGAACCTAAAAAAGCCAAATTTGCAGAAACAGAGAGTAGAACGGTGGTTACCGGGGGCTGAGGGCTGGGCGAAATGGGGAGATATTGGTCTAAAAGTACTACTGCCAATTAGGAGATGAATATTCATGGAATCTAATATACGGCATTTTAATTATAGTTGACAACGCCGTGTTATATACTTGCAAGTTGCTAAGAGAGTAAACCTTAAATGTTCTCACCACAAAAAAGAAATAGTAATTATGTGACATAATGGAGGTGTTAGCGAATGCCACAGTGGTAATTATATTGTAATATATAAGTATATCAACACATTGCATACCTTAAACTTACACAATGTTATATGTTAATTATATCTCAAGGATAGAGAACAAAAAGATATAGAAGAGGAGGAAGTCTACTCAACTCACTTGATGAGGCTCATACCAACCTGATACCAAAACCAAGCAGACACATTACAAGGGGAAAACCCAGGGATGTAAAATCTTTAACAAAATATTAGCAAATTGAATCCAAATGTATATAAAAGGATAATATACCATAACCAAGTAGGGATAATCCAAGGAATGTGTAGGTGATTTAACATTTAAAATAAATGAGGAAAAAAGCTGTGATTATCCCAATAAATATAGGAAATGCATTTCAGAAAATTCAATATATATTCATGATTTAAAAAAAAACCTCCTAGCAAACTAGGAGGAAAGAGAACTTCCTCAACTAAGATCTTACTTAATGGAGAAAGACTTTATGTTTCTATCTAAGATTAGGAGCAAGGCGAGGTATATACTCCCATGATTCCTATTCAACATTATACTGAAGGCCCTAACCAATGTAATAAAGTAAGAAAAAAACCCATACAGATTAAAAGAAAAAAAAGTAAAGCTGTCTTTATTTACAGATGAACTAATTATATGCATAGAAAATTCTAAGGAATCTACAAAAAGCTATTGGAATTAATAAGTCAGTTTACGAAGACTGCAGGATACAAAATCAATATACAAAAGTCAATTCCATTTCTATATACTAATAATGAACATTTGGAAATTGACATTTTAAAAATTACATTTACAATAGCATAAAAACATTAACTATTTATGGAGAAATTTAACGAAATATGTTATGACTCATACACTGAAAACTACAAAAGACTGCTAAGAAAAGTTAGGAAAATCTAAATAGGCAGAGAGGTATACATGTTCATGAATCAGAAGACTTAATGTTATTAACATCCAATTATCTATAAAATAATCTATATATTCCATGTAATCCCAAACAAAATCCCAGTAGTCTTTTCTATGAAAAGTTGACAAGCTGATTCTAAAATACATAAGGAAATGCAAAGGACCCACAATAGCCAAAATAAATTCAATAGAGAACAAAGTTATACAACTGGCTTTCAAAACTTATTATAAATCTACAGTAATCAAGAGAGTGTGGCATTGGTGTAAAATAGATATATATATCAATGAAACAGAATTAAGAGTTTAGAAAAAGATGTATATATAGCCAACTGACTTTTGACAAAGATACCAAGTTGATTCAACGGAATAAAAACAGACTTTTCAATATACGGTACTAGAATCACTAGATATATATACAGGGGGAAAAAAGACAACTCATACCATATACAAAAATTAAACTGAAAGGGATCACGGACTTGAATTTAAGAGTTAACCCAGAAAATTCTCAAACAAAACGTATGAGAAAATCTTTGCAACTTTGGCTTATACAAAGATTTCTTAGAATGAAAACAAAACACATGAACCATAGGAGAAATATTGATAAATTATACTTTACCAAAAGTAAAAATTTCTGATCATTGAACGATACCATTAAGAAAATAAAAGGTGAACCACAGACAGAAAATATATGCAATATACATATCAGGCAAAGGATTTGTGTTCAGAATATTAATAAACTCTTAGAACTTAATAATAAGAAAAACAGCTCAATAAAAAGACAGTAGACACTTCACCAATGAAGATATATTATGCAATATCATTAGTAGTGAAATAAAAATTAAAACCACTACAAACCCATTAGAATGGTTAAAAATTAAAAAGGCAGACAACATCGAATATTGGCAAGGATGTGGAGCAAATGGAACTCCCATACATTGCTGGTGGGAAGATAATATGTTACAACCATTGTGGAAAATTCAGGAATATACAAACAGCAATGCTGCATCCAGAATGAAGTCCGTAGTTGTTTATTTAGGGCATCCATCACCCTGCCACTCCCTGGCAGCCCTCACCTCCCACCACTCCTTACCTATGAGCCCCACACTTGTCCCTGAAGAGACTGAGTTTGTTCCCACCACTGTCTCTTTTTCTATGCTCTTCACTTCACTTTCCACACACTCTCTTTCCTCACCTTTCAGCCGATCCACACTCTATATTTCTTTTAGGGCTCAATCAAAGGCTCTCGATTCCCCTGTTGCTCCAGCCCACTCTGATCCTGTTTCCCTCTGAACTCCTCTGACACCTCCCATCTGTGCCACGTGTGCAAGACCATGATGAGAACCAGCCCTGGGAAGTGCATGTGGGTGTTGAGGGGCAGCCACCACATTTTATACCCTTATTACCCCTGCACAGTGCTCAGAACAGGGCAGGCAACCAGTGCCCCATGACAACTCTAGCTTTGCATGACTGCTAAGTCTATCTGTGAACCTTCGTACCTGTTTTCCAGCCTCAGGTTGTGTGAAAGGTTGTGCATTATTTTCATCAGGACATTCAACATCATCATCTTCCTCTTCAGCAAGTGGGGCCAACCAAGTCCGATCATACTCAACACTCAAGGTCTTTGGTGCAGAAATTAGTATACCAAACTCTTCCCAGGTGTCTGGGCCCTTTTTCATCTCTGTGACCAGGGGGATGATGTCTTTGCTCTCTGCAGCAGAGCCTCCTGTCACCTCTTTTTGCTCTGGTAAGTTTTGCCTCCTGTACCACTTGTGATAAAAATGCTCAAGATTATGTAACACAAAATAAAAAGCCCGGCGGAACCGATCCAGGGCTAACTGGACTTCGGTTTTCCTGGTCTGTCCTTCCAAGCTTCCACCTCTCTCCTCACTGCTGAAGGAATTGAGCAGCAAGGCAATGAAGAGATTGAGTACCTGGGAAGGAGGCAGGGACACAAGGAGAATGGAACATTTAGCAAAGGAAAGGATACAGTAGGTTTCCAGAACAACTTTTCCCCAAGACTCAAAACAAAATCAAAAGAGAGTTCTATGTCCTTCTGTCTCCCAAGAAAGCTCATCTATAGAATAAATAAAAGGAGAGAAGATTGAGGAAGTAATAGAGACAGCAAGATAAGACAAAAGAAAAATTGAAATTAAAGAGTGCAAACAGCCAAATCACGTTTATCTACATATAAGCAGCATGTATTGTAGACTCTGGAAAGGAGACCCACATGGCAAAATCGAAAGTCTATATTCCTTGGGGATCAGCCTGAATCATGAGCTTGGATTTTTGTTGGAATTGCCCACAGGGATATGGGTCTTATGTCTAAGACTGCTGTGGAGTCCACTCCTGTTTGTGCAGGCTCTTTAGGTCCTGCTGCCCAAAATGCAGTGAAGTCTTGGGGCTGAGCTGGAGGGATCTGAACCAAATCTGCAACTGTTTTGTTGAAGCATATATGACTTTAAAGGCAAATCATCCCAACAGCTTCCTACTTTAGTTTTTTGCTTACACTTAAAAACCCTCCAATTTATCATCTTTACCTTCTTAAACTCCCTTGTTTGTGGCTCTCACCAGCTCAAAAATATACAACCTTTGAAGAGAGGGATTCTTTCCATGTGAATGGGTCTAGTCACCCTTCCTCAGCTTCACCATGAGAATGCCCAACTCTGGTTCTTTGCTCAGTCTCTCCTCTATTTGCTAAGTTCTCCTTGATTCTTAAGCGCCCTTCTCAAGCACTGCATCTTCCACAAATCCTTTCTTAATGCTCTCTTCCCACTCACTTTGGTGATATCCTGTTCTTCTGAACTTTTTTTATCACTTATTGTCTATCTACCTCACTTATCAGGTACTCAAGATAACTTTGTGTGTGGATAGTTAATTATATTTGCATGATGGCCCCAACTTGATTCTGAAGATCTTGTGCTCAGGTATCCTTGTGTGTCTGCTGTCTCTTCATGCCCTCACTGGTGTACATCTAATTAGCCTCTCCATAAATATCTACATTTCCAGCTGCAAGTAATAGACTCAAGGCAGCTTACACAAACGGAAAAGGTAATATAATAAGTTTGAAAATAGATCAGGGGCCAATTATGACACGAAGATAGGTTTGTTCTGTCTTTTCACTCTACCTTCCTCAGTGTGCTCTCTAGCTTAGGCTAGTTCTCGTCATGGTCACATCATCTCTGCAGTTCTGCCAGAAGTCACAGTCATAAAAAGGCCAGAAGAAGTATAAGGACCATTTTTTCTCTCATCCCTTCTTTTTTTAAATAGAACAAGAGGTCTTCTTCAGTGAACATCCCTTTACACCCTACTGACCAAATTAAGTCACAAACTTCTACCTCAGCCAATCACCAGCAAAGAGAATATGACTATCCTAGAATAATCGCCTGGAGTAGAACAGCTACTGGGGCATCAGTCAACATGAACACTATCTGACAAGGAGGTTTTGTTTCATGCTTATTACACTTTCCACAAACCAAATTCAAATGCAGATTTTTAAATATTATATAATAAATTTATAATATTATATTTAGAATAACAATTTTCACCAGTGAAGTGCTGCAAAAAAAGCTAATGCATCTGTGAAGTCTATGTATTTAAAAAAAATCTAAGACACTCACCACGAGTTTTCCTATCACCATGATCAACAGAAAGACAATAATGCACAGTGACGGATCAGCTACTTGCATGCATTCCCACATGTTTTCAATCCATTCCCCACAGAGGATGCGGAATACCACCAGAAAGGAGTGGTAGAAATCCCCCATGTGCCAGCGTCGTAAACATGGGACTGTAGGAATACAGGATTTCGTATTTCTTTTTTCATAACCGAATTTAGAGCCAAAAAGCTGCATGCCAACAACCGAGAAAATAAAGACCACAATGGCCAGGACCACAGTCAGGTTTCCAAGGGCTCCAACGGAGTGGCCAATTATCTTAATCAGTGTGTTCAAAGTTGGCCAGGATTTGGCTAACTTGAAGACCCTCAGCTGTAAAAACAGACAATAAACAAAAATGGAAGAAAAGCCAGTTAAGGACAAAGTCCATCTGCTCAGCTATAAAGCAAATGACATGTTCCCAAACCACAGCATTTATGACTTTCAAAAATGTTTTCAAAGCCAAATCAATCCTAAACATGGTCACCAACTCCCTGTCCCAAACTAATACTTATCTGTATCGACTTTTTGTGTTAAAAATGGAAATATTTTATTCTAACATTTTCTTAAATGATAAAGACTTTGGGATCATGATGGTGAAATCGAGTATATGTATTTATTATATAAAATGAATGTTTTGGAATCCTATTTAATATACTAGGGGTCGAAAATATGGCCTGAGGGCCAGATCCGGCTCATTGCCTCTTTTTGTATGGCCTGAGAGGTAAGACTATTTTTTACATTTTTTAAATGGTTGGAAAATAATCAAAAGAAGGATATTTCTTTGTACATGAAAACTGTATGAAGTCCACATTTCTGCATCTGTAAATAAAGTTTTATTGGAACACAGCCATACCCATTTGTTCTCGAATGTCTACAACTACTTTTGTGCTACAATAGCAAAGTTGAATGATTTTGACAGAAACCATATGGTCTGTAAGGCTGAAAATATTTACCATCTGGCCTTTTACAGAAAAATTTTGCTAATTCCAGCATTATATATTCCAGGTCACAAGTTTAAATCTAAGTTTTATAACAAAGATGAGAGTAATATGACGTTTTGTACCTAGGAGAGAAAAGGCAATCAGCTGCTCAAGACATGCACACTTTTTCCAAGGAGAAGATTTTTTCATGGAACCTTACAGACCTTGCAGGAGACAATAACCTTAGAGAAAATACAGCAACTAGCTTCATAGGTTATTTCTTATAGTAACTTTCAATATAAAGTGATGATTCACTCCAAAGTACAATCCTGTTAAGGACCAACTATTCATTGTTGGAGTGGAAATATTGCAGGTCAGTAGGACTTATGTCTCAGGAGAAGGACCACCACTGTCTACTCAGAGGGGAGTCAGAGGCATATCAGGGAGAGACTATGGTTCTGTTCTCATACACAGACAACAGACGCCACAGAATTCCTTGCCTCGGAGCATGGCTATAATAAGCCTAAACAATTGTAAAGCAAATACAATTTTGCTCACCCAAGGCCAATAAAACTTTAAGAGAGTAGCCTAATAATGCCTTACTTTGAGCAGTGTGATCTCCTAACATATCCCAAGTACACGCTTAGATAAGTGAATCAAAAGTCTTACTCTGCAGGCTTAGAAATCCTATCCATGTCAAAAAGAAAATAAAGTGAATCTTTGAAAGAGGACAAGAGGCCACCTTTTGTGGTTTCCCAATTCCCCTCTCAGATGTGGTTTCTCTATAGCTTTTTATCTATACCTCTCATGGGATCTGTCACAGTCTACTTTGCCTCATGGTCATTTCTGGCCCTGTCTTACATCATCCCTGGACTGCAAACTCCTTGAAGACAGTACTTTCCTCATCTTTGAGTCTTCCCTCATGTCACCTCATATCAGGCACTCTGCAGAGCTTGCCGGAATGCCTCCAATAGTTAGTGGATGGAGGGCAAAGACTACAGAATAGGAATGTGGCCCTGGCAGTAGTGAGGAGGGACCTTGTGAGATAGGACCTGCCAGCAGCAGCTGTCCCCCTCCTAGGCTCTGTAGTCTTCATTCCCTTGGTGAGCCCAGATGTGAGTGTGCCTGACTCAGAGCTCTGTGGGGGAAGAGATCATCAGAAAGGTCATACAAAGAAAGAAGCAGAGTCCAGACACTGAAAGACACAATTTTGCATCTGCTTGCCTAAAGAGTCGTTTTGGGGGTGGTGGGAAGCAGGGGTTCAGCTGAGAGAAGACCTTCTTGGACTCCCAGGAGTATTAAAGACTTAGGTTGGAGGAGGAGTGCAGTAGATTCTCGGGTCAAGGTAAGATAAGTTAAAGTTTAATCTAAAATAGCCATCGAACTCACTCAAGTGTCTTTTCAATACTGGCGGCTAAGTTATTCAGTAAAGTAAGAAAGTAAGTGCCTTACCACTCTTAAGGAACGGAAAAATGGCCATTTTTGTTTTCCTGCAACTATACTATTCATCACATCTGCAAAACTCAGAAGAGCGACGACACTGTCAAAAATGTTCCAGCCTCGGCGAAAGTAGTGGTAGGGATCGAGCGCGATGATTTTAAGGAACATTTCTGCCATAAAAACGCCAGTGAAAACCTACAGTGAGACAAAAAAGAATGAGAAAAGGAAGCTACCTCTCTTGGGAGATACACTTTGAAGAATGACGCAAAGGAATTACAGGTCACAAAGCAATAAAATGCATTCTCACGGTTGACACAGTATACCCCCAAGTCCGTGAGGAAGAACCATTTATGGCTGCAGCATGAACCTCACTCTGCCTTTGCTCCTTTCCACCCATCTCCGTGGTGCCCATTCCAATGTTACCAAGCTCACAGACATCAGGATGAAGAGTAAATATTATTTCCCATTCTGTTGAAAATAAGGCAAAATTGGGTTCTTGGTGGATAGCACAGTGATAGGAAGTGTCAAGCAATTTCTCCTGTGAATTATCTTTAAAATATCAATAAAAACTACAAAATGGGGGAAAGTACACAACAGCTCTGAAAACTAAAGATAAATGTCCTCTACAGACCGGAATCCAGGAGGAGTTCACCTAATCTCTCAATCTCAGCACCTTGACCAGAAAAAAATTAAAAAGAGGCCCAGAGCAGAGAATAGAAAAACACTACCAGGGACAGAAAAATGTCTGTGAACAATTCAAGATATAGGAGAAACTCTAGATTGGTCATGGTTGAAAGGAAGATTAGTGAGTTGGAATATAATCCCAAAAACTCATTCAGAATATAGGGCTCATCATTCCAGATCAAAATATTAGAATTAAGAGGGGTGGAAGTTACAAAAAATGCTGACTTATGTGTTTTCCATAGGCAAAAATAATTTTTTTGTCTTTGTCTTTGACAATTAGATACAGACTTAAGGAATTTTCAAAATGTTGAATAAGTAGTAGCCAAATTAAAAACTAAATCTATATTCTATATCTTTGCAGAAGGTAAAGCAAAGCATTTCCTCATAGCAAATAGCACATTCTCTATGACACACACACAACTATACAGAAATGAGAAAAACAATACTACAAAAATAAAAAGGTAATATAAAAAGGGTTAAAGACTTTAAAAATGTTGTCAGTTATAAAACTCTCCTTTACAGTTCTGAAAAAAAAATCCAAAAATGCTTAAATCTCCTTATTAAAAGAAACACATGATCTGTTTTTATAAATAATTCAATGACTTACTATTTACTTTTTTTAAATCCCTAAAATAAAAAACACAAGTTAAAATAAAACGGTTGGCAAAGATAAATCCAGGAGAGGCAAATAAAAAGAAATTGAGGGTGGCAAAGAAGTTTTCAAGCTTTTATCTATCTTTTCCCTTTAAACATTGCTGCCTACCCCACTCAATGCCACAACCAGGGCCTAAAGGCATGCCTGTTCTACAGGTATTGCCTGTTCTAGTTAGTTGTGTGGGACTGACCCCGGCCTCCTTGGATCTACTCCTCCTCCTCCTATCTCCTTCAGGCTTTAGGTGTCTAGCCCTACAGCCTCCCTAGATGCCTTGGGACCATTCACTTTGCAGTCTAATTCAATTGCTACTTATGGCTTCTTGGGAGTTCCATGTACTCCCCTGATTTGAGCAATCCCGAAGCCTGAGAGTCCATTTCCAACTCCAGACCCACAGAACTCCACAGTCCAGCTTAATCCTGGTCCACCCATCAGAGGAGGGAGGTTTGGATGTGTTCTTTGGAACTCAAGGCTCCAAGGCCTCCCTCCACCACCACCATGGGGGCACAATAGATGGGATGGCTGCCACCTTTGTATTCTGCATCTGGGGAATGGGGAACATGGAATGAAAGCACAGGCTATGAGGCCAGCTTTGCATGTTTCTCGTCAATTTTCAGGAGCCAGGGTGCATGTCCTCAGACACCGACAATGTCCCTGTGCTTCCTTCTGCCTCTGGAGAAAGTTAAGAAGAATGTCACTTAATTCATCAGCTTCCGACGCCTTCACCTCAACACCCAGGATGCCTAGTCAGTGGGAAATCTGAGAGGGGGCTGTTGGCCATTTCTCACAGTTTGATCAGCAGAGGAATGGATGGACAGACCGCTTTTGCCATTGGGAAGCTTTGTTCAGGGAATGACTCTGGGTTCTTTGGGTATTCTCTGAAACTTATCCAATAACTCTACCCACCAGGAGGTGCTGAAAGATGGATCTGCTGACTGTTGAGGCAGAGACCATGGCCCTGAGGGCACAACATTCTGCCTCCAAGTGAAACAACACCATCAGCCCATTTCTGGAATACCTCAGCAGGAGGCAGTTGAATACACTGGCCAGGAGTCCAGAAGACCCCAGGCTGTTAGAAGGTACTGCGTGTGTTAGGTTTATCATGCAGCATGGAATCAAATCCATCTCATGCACACAAATGAGGCACTTCTTCCCGAAAGCAGTAGGCAGAAAGGAACTTAAATGCAGATTGTCTTTAGGAGAACCACCCTGGTTTTGTACTGCAGTGCCACTGTACCCTTTCTCCTCCTGGGAGGGATGTGCGACTGAGGGTGACAGGTGTGTATCTCCAGTTCTACAGCATCCTAAAGTTGATGCATAGAAGCAGCTCTGTGGACCAACTCCTGATTCAATAGGTACAGTGGGTACTCATCAATGTAAAAAAAAAGAACTAAAAAATACATCCATCCATCTCTATATGTGTATAAACTACCTGGAAATACTCTGCAATGCTAAAAATGATCATCCTTGCTAGTAGGACCATAGGAAATGAGTTTCTTCTTTGTATTTCCCTTCTTTGTATTTTTCCTTATGCAAAAAGTTTTTTTTAAGGCATGCATTGCTTTTTAAATTGGAAAAATAAAATAAACTTTAAGAGGAAAGAGTTAGGCATTCTGGTAAGATTTTTAGCCCATTAACTCATTAGCTAATTCTAGTAACACATTCAGTGGATAATTATTCGTTATTTCTGCTATTTGGGATATTTTCCCTTGGGGAAAAAAATGCCTTCTACAGGAACTATGAATTAAAGTGAACAGTTCCTGAAAAGTCTGCTCCCCATCTTAGTTTTCCCAATTTAACTGAGACTAGATCCATGCAGTGAGAGACACATCGAAGCAGCTCAAGTCTGGAACCAACCCCACCCCTACCCCACAGGCTCCACATACCCCCTCCCAGGAAAGTGTACCTCCCACAGCTGCCAGGCCCTGACTCACCTTTCCAGGGGGAATAGTACTTAGTAATGGCATTTGTGACAAATGATGTCATCAATATCACCAGGGACCATGGGCCTCTGGCTATGGTTAACGTTTTCTTAATTATTCCAAATAGTTGACCTTTTGAGACGTCTACTTGCTCTGGCTTACCACTGGATAACTAAAAAGACACTGTAACGTACTGGAGGGGCCAATGTAGGTCCCACGGAAAATTACTGAACTGGGTAAAAACAAAATCCTGACAGTCATCTTTTCCCTCTAGTCCCCCTAAGGGGAACAAAGGCCTGGGTTGCATTAGGCCACATTCACAAAATGTTTAGACTTTGAAAGAGTTATGATTCAAAGTTTGAAATACGCTTATATTTTAAAAAGCCTAAAGTTACCAAATTCCCTGTATTCAACATCGTCTCAAAAGTCGGGTCCATGTTGTAATGCTCCATGGCCAAGAAGACGGTGTTGATTATGATGCAGATGGTGATGGCCAGCTCAGTAAAGGGGTCAGTCATCATGGTTTTCAGGGCCTTCTTAATACGAAGCCACTGGGGGCTGCAGTCCCACACGAGGTATTTGGATGCCAGGTTTTCCCCACATGGGAGGCAAGGTTCCTGGGATTTTTCTAGTTCTGGAGAAGAAAGAAAGAGCAGTTGAGGTGTTAGCTCTGAACCAGTCTGGCTGCTCTTTGAGTGAGTGCATTCCTTCCTCCATCTTCCCTAGGGTCGCTGTGAGGCAATGTAATCAGTCAAGAAGGGCATTGACTGGTGTAGCCAGATAGGTTTCCCACATATAGCTTCCATGTGGTATAGTCAAGTACATCATGTCTTTACACTTATATTGAGCATCTGGGAGCTGGGCTGCACTGTTAGACATACAGATGAGGAAGTCAATGCTGACTGGCTGTGAACCCATGAGGGAGAGACACACAAGCCCAAGTCATGTTCACTCAAGGCAGACCATGGTGACAGCTGTAACAGAGGCACAAGGAGCTACCAGGGCTCAGGGGAAGGAGAGATATTCAGGCAAGGCCATCTATATGCACTGAAACAAAACACACTCAGTTTTTTGAGTTCAGGTCATAAAGCAGCTGCATCCTTGATTTTTCTGATACCATTTCAGAGGACTCATGTAGGCCAAACAAGGTGATGCAATAGGCTCAAAAGTGCTAAGGGACCCATTTGACCCCATCCTTGCAGGGACTTGAGTCCTGCCCTTCAACACCAACCCCTTAGTTGAGTTGCTGTTACCTGCTATTAATCAAGTCAATCAGATGGCTCCAGACTATCTACAAAGGTCTTCTATTGTCCACGCCAGATTCCAAACTCTGACTTCAATGAAAACTGCCACCTACTGGAAACGTCTATGTCTTCTCTTCTTTGGCTATCATTGTCACTGAGACCTCCTGTGACTACCTGGCCTGATCGGGAGGTTCCATTTGTGCTCTTGGTCCCAAATCCTATCCCAGGTCTAGCTGGTTCCCACACTACCCAAGTGCTGGCTCAGGGTGGACCCACAGGGAAGGCCCACTTTTTCCAAACCACTTTTCTTACATGCTCCAAAGATGTGTAGGAAGTCACTCTTTGTAGAAAGTACAGTTAGTTGCAGAGGGCTTCTAGGGGCTGGTGACAGGGAGAATGGAAGGATATCATTGAAGTTAGGCTCTCCCTTGGGCTGGGAGGCAGAACTTACCCTGCACAGTGATGGTGAGGATACTGACAGCACTCAGCGCCCTCTGCCTTTGGATGGGGTCTCCACGCTCATCACCATGGTCCAGTGACAGATTCTGGGACAGTCGTTTGGTTTGTTCTAGGAGGTGTGGCTGTGAGAGAAGGCACAACGGACTTTCTAAGAGAAGAGGCTTTCTCTCCTCAAAACGTTACAAACGTCTTTGTTTCAATGCCACATGCAGCAAAGATGCTTAATATTTTATATAGGCTGATTCACTTCAATGTCATGGCATGCCAAATGTTCAGCTTTCTAATTCATATTTAATAAATAAGAGAAATATGGTTTGAACATTCATATTTCTTATGTATGTACATTTGTAGAGTCTTACCTACAGAAATTTTTTTTCTCAAAATTTTCTTTCTCAGATTTGTTCATTGTCAACAAAGAGCAAAAAAATTTTACAAAAACTAACGAGCAACGGTTCAGGGTAAATAAATGGTTTAAGCAATAAAAAGTCTAATTTGGAAACAACGTTTGCCAGGGGTGGAAGTGGGGAAGAAGTTTAGAAAGGTGGATTGGGGCCAGAGAGCGAAGTGCCTTGAACGACTGCCTAAATAGGTTTTAAAACAGTCAGAAACTAAAAAGAACAGTCAAAATAAATATCACAAAATCTATACACTAAATCTCAAGCACTCTCTCAGGCTACGCCCGAGAGCTTATTGACTCTCACCTCACCTACAAATCTAATGTCTCTGGAGACTAAAGGACATAAGCCCTCAGCTATCCAGAAAACTCAGGTCCAGATGGTTTATTTCCCCAAAGTTCTGATCAACCAGGGCCCCAGAGGAGACCAAATAGCTGATGAGCTATTTTAAAGACAGCCTTTCTTTTCTATAGCTATTTCTTGTTCTAGTTAAAGAGAAAAGACACTTTATGTTAAGTGTTTGTGTCTCTGTCTATTGTTTTGTGGAAAGGGGGAAAACTTCCAAAATATTAAAAAATATTTGCAGTCTCTTCAATATGTGTGGTCCCTCTCCCCACCCCATTCTCGGGCATGCACATCCACCTTCTGCCCACTTCGTCTCCCTTGTTCTATTTCAGGAAAGTGGCTCTTGCCATTATTCCCCAGCATCTTCAACATTTTCCTCTCTTCTGACTTCTCTCTCCACAATTAAAACATGTTCGAACATTCCCCCACCTTAATGATAAGAATAGCCTTTTTTCCCCTAGTGCCCATCCTCCCATAACTTCATTTCTGCATATCCAACTCCCTAGTCAATATCCACGCTGGGAGATCCCATAGGCACCTCAAAATTGGCACATCCGGAACCGAACTTGCCATCTTCTCTATCCCCAGAACATGTTCCTTTCCTGTCTCAGTAAATTACCCTCCATCAAGTCAACTACCCAAGCCATAAACCAAGTATCATGCCCACCCTCTACAATTAGTCAATTGCCAAATTTTATCTTCTGTAGATCATGTAATCTGTTAATCTCTCTTGATCTTCATTTCCCTAATCCTAGTTCAAGCCACTGTCATTTCTTACATAGATTACTGCAACAACTTCTTCTTCTTCTTCTTTTTTTTTGCTGAGGAAGATTAGTCCTGAGCTAACATCTGTGCCAACCTTCCTCTTTTTTTTGCTTAAGGAAGACTCACCCTGAGCTAACATTTGTGCCAATCTTCCTCCACTTTATATGTGGGTAGCTGCCGCAGCATGGCTGATGAGTAGAATAGGTCCCCACCAAGGATCCGAATCCGTGAACCCCAGTGCCGCTGAAGTGGAGCATGCAAACTTAACCACTACAACACTGGGCTGGCCCCTGCAACAGATTCTTAATTGGTTGCCTCCAGTCTCGCTCTTCTCCAAACCCATCTCTTCAATGCATTCAGCATTTCAAAATGTAAATTTAGTCATATCACTCATTTGATTAAAACTTTTCAATGCTGCTTACCCCTTGCTCTCAGTATAAAGGTTGAACTCCTTGGCTTCAAGGCCTTTTGTGATGGTCCCATTCTTACCACTACAGCCTTTTACCACCCCCAACCCCCAATCTCATCTCACACACACACACACACACACACACGCTCGCAAGTTTCCTACTGGGTCATGTCCTCTTGCCCTCCTTTGCTTCCAGGCCTTTGCCTGTGCTGTGCTCTCTACCGGCAGTGCTACCGTCTTCCTTTTGCCTGGTTAATCCACCTTTTCAGCTTAGACACTGCTTCCTCCATGAACTCTGTTTTGATTCACTGCTCTTCTCATAGCCCACCAAGTCTGGGTTGATTGTCTGAAGTAGATGCTGTCTTGGCCCATCCATATATCCTCAGGCCTTACCTGAGGGCTTTCTCTGGCCCCACGAACCTCCTCTGCCCTGATGCACAGTAAGCCAGAAATACAGAAAAGTATAATCTCCTGACCTCAGTAGTCTTTAACCAATGATGGATCAAAGTTGGTGTATAAATACCCTAGTGCCCTCACTCCAGTGAGATTAAACTCCAACTACCTTCAATGGTAACTGGCTTGATAGTACATGTATCGCTTCTCCCTTCCCCTCTCAGTGCTTCCTGGAACCACTTCCCAAATAATCTACTCGCACTGTAGCGCTCAGGGTTTGCTTCAGAGGGAAGCCCCTAAGACACTGCTCCTCCTCTGTTCTCCCACAGCGATCATCATGTCAGTCATCACATTGAATAACGACTGCCTCTTTATTAGTGTGTCTTCATCATTAGCTGCCTGTCTTATACATCTCATCTACCCTCAGCACCTACCCCGGTGCCAAGCAGATAGTAAACACTATCAACACTTTAAATAGATGTTCGTAAATAAATGGGTAGTTGAATAGACACATGGACAGGAAAGTATGTGCAAATGGATGAGTGGATAAGTGGGTAAACGAATGAATGAATCCTTTCAATTAGACTGACAACTTGATCTGTACCCCTGAACAGTGCTATAGCATCATTAATCCCTAAGCCAGGACTTGCCTTTTTTTGGGAATCTTCATCAGAATCTGTTCCTGGAAACTTCTCTTTCCCAGAGTCTCTCAAAAAGAAGGATTTCCTTTTCTTATTACCAAATAGCTTTCTCTTCTTTGGGGAAAAAGATGATGCTTCAAGGGAATTAAGTGAACTTCTGTCAATTCCCATGGCAACCAGAGCCTTGGAGAGTGCACAAAAGCAATTAGTGAACAGATTAGACCTCCCCATAAAACATCGCAATTGACCTTGACCTAAGTGAGCATTCTCTTCTCTCTTCTGGTAGCACCATACCATTTAGATTGCCCATCATCTAACTGGAATATACCGGCTTTGTCATAATTTATCTGTGTAATATGTCCTGTTTGTCCATGGAGATTGCAGCCCTCAAAGGCAGGGTTGACTCATTCATATCTCTGTATCACTAACCCTAAACACAGTGCCCAGTATGTGCCAGGCACTTAATAAATGTTTGTGCCTGATGATGCATAGATTAAGCATTTACAATGGGCTTTCCTCTGACAGATCTCTGTGGCGGATAAGGAGTGTATAAAACATGGTCCCTGTCCTGAAAATCTTAGAATTGAACTGGAAAAATGTAAAGATACCAGGGAAACAATGAGAATGGCCTATGAATATGACAGGAATTTCAAGAAGGGAGAGATGATCATGGCTTTTATCTCTAGAACCACCATTATTGTCTTCCCAAATCCTCTCAAGTGAACACAAACATCTCCAGATTCCCACAACAAAGCCCAGGGCAGAGCCTGAATTTACATATACACAAGTTTTATCCTGTAGCCAGCAATTTGGGATCTGTCCTAGAAGGCTCGGGTTTCAGAAGGTCAAAGAACATCAAGACCAAGTGTTCCCTGTTCTCAAGAGTCCTGTGTCTGGAGATCTCATTGAGAGACAGCAGCAGAGCCTGTCTTTCTGCAAGGGGCTTAAATTCTCAGAAGAGCACCAGTAGAGAGCACTACACCCCAGCCTCATACAGCACCCTTGAGCCTCAGGCCCCATGGCCTCTACGGTCCCCGGTCCCCGCAAGCAGACCCCATGAGCCCCTACCTCCTTCTCTTTCTTTAACAGCTGCTGGGCTTCCTGGAACATTTTCTCCTTGGCCTCTGTCTCAGCAGCTACGTTCCTGTTCTGTTCCTCGTAAGCCATGGTGACAACAGCCAGAGTTAAGTTAATCAGGTAGAAAGAGCCCAGGAAGATCACCACCACAAAGAAGAAGACTGAGTAGAGCCCCGAGGTAACCAAAGTCTGCAAGGGACAGAGCACACGCTTGCATCTGAAGCCTTCTTCCACAGGACGGTGACCATCACCTCAAGCAGAGATTGTATAGTAGCAATCGGCTTCCCCCAGCACTGGTGGGCTCAGCTGCCTGCAGCATCATCTACGGCCTCCCTAGGCACCCAGAGACTCCTGATGCCCTATATCTCAGAGAGGAAATGCCGTCCATACGTTCCCATGGAAGTCTCAGTGACTTTACTATGATTTTCTCAAGGGTGTTTGCATTTTAAAACTAAAAAGGCAAAAGAGATAGCAATGCTTCATGAAAACTGAAGCACTAGTGCTGGAACTTCAGGCAGCAGGGAACCTGGGGAGGGGTAATATTTCAAGGAAGTGGAGTTTTTGTCCACTATTCTTCCAAATATCATGTTTATAAAATTTTTTTTGATGTTTCTAACAGAACTTCTAAAGCAGAATTTAACAGTACAACTGTTAAGGCTGAGGAATAGATGACAAAGGTGGAAGATAGATGGTAGGTCATAAATAAATGATAGAGAGATAGATCAGCGACGGGGAGAGAGAGACAATAAATGGATAACCTGTTGGTAAAGCTTCTCCCACGAATCTTGGGTCATAAGCCGGAACATGGCAAGAAAAGACCAGCCAAAGTTGTCAAACTTCGTAAAATTATGGTCAGGATTGTCATCTGTGTGTCTGCATTCAAAGTCTTCAGAACAGGCACTAGATATTGGAAACAAGTGAACAGAGAAAGAATGAGATTCCCCACAGCCCAGCTCCCCATCTTCCCCCATGGCGTTGGTTCCTCTGAGGGCCACGGCTCACACCTGAAAGTCCTGGGTGAAGAGTACCTTTAGAGTGGCCATCCCCCTGTCTGACAACCCTCCCAGCCAAACCTTAACCTGGGCACCCATTCACTCTTTCCAAATAGATTGATTAGTAAATTCAGGTTAGCAGTTTTTCATTGAAAAATTAAGTGCAGTGACATAGTGAACAACCAATGGTAAAAAAGGGCTTACAATAAATAAGAAGTCTCCATCTCTCCCCCAATCCTAGTCCCACTTCCTAGAGGCAACAGTTTAACAGCTACTTTTGTACCTTTTCCATGAATATAGAAGCACATATATATCAACACATATCTTCTATAATACATAAATGGGAGCATCCTTTGAACACTCTCTTGCACCTTGCTTTCTTCATGGAACAGTGCAGCTTGGAAATCTTTTCCATATCAGCATACAGGAAGACATCTCACTTATTTTCATGTCTTACAGTCCTATGACTCACCTACTTGCTCTGCTAATGATGAATACTAAGGTTTCAGTTGTTGGTCTTTTGCTTTTACAAACATTTGGGGTTTAGTCTACAATGAGTATCTTACACATAGATCTTTGCCCACATCACCAAAGCACACATCACTAAGTGTATCTATAGGATTTACTCAGGATATGTACTTGCTTAATTTTTAATAAATATAGTATTTTTATCGAAATAATATATGTGTGGTTTAAAAATCACATGGCACCAAAAGGCCTGTAATGAAAACCATTCCATCTTTCTTCAACCATCATTTACACACCCCAAATTCAACAACTTTTGATTCTTGTACATCCGTATCTCTAAATATAATGCTTATACTGATATTTGATTTATCAATTTTAGTCCTTGTTGATTAACTTCCTGTTATGGTAGATGAGGGATAGCCCTCCAACATCCCTTCTCACTTCATCACTACTTATATCAGTCTTCATAGAAAAATATTGTGGCCTGTGTCGATGGCTCTTCTGGGTTGGATACATTTTTTCTTGGCTCCTATGTGTAGCTCTTTCCAAGTTTTACTCCCTCATTTTTCTGGAAAAAATCTCAAGTAGGCTTCTTAAGAAGACTGGGTGATCTTTGCGTACACGAGTATACCTTTATTCTACCTTTACAGTTGATAGATAGTTTGGTCAGAAATAGAATTTTGGGTTGAAAATAATTTTTCCTTAGAAATATTAAGGCACCACTCAGCTATTTATCCTGTGTGGCTATTGAGAATTCAGATGCTGTTTTGATTTTTTTATTCTTTTGTGAGTCACCTTCTTTTTCTCTTTGGTTTTCTGATCTTTTCCCCAGGTTCTGAAACGCCATGACAATGGACTTGGCATGGTCCTTTTTCATTCATTGTATCGTGACTTTATGGGACATGGAGGGACTTGCATCCTTAATCCCAGGAAAATGCTCCATATTATTTCTTTGCTAATTTCCTCCCTTTTGCTTTTTCTGTGCTCTATTTCTGGAATTCCTACTTCGTCAAAAGTTGGAACTTCTGGATTAATGTTTATCCTCATATTTTCTGTCTCTGTCTTTTGTTGCTACCTTCTGGGCTATTTCCTCAACTTTATCTTTTAATTCTATTATTGATTTTATATAATCATGTTAGCAAAAAAAGATCTTTCTTGTTCTCTGACTGTTCCTCTTTCATAACAAGCTTTTTTTTTTTTTTACGAAGATTAGCCCAGAGCTAACATCCATACCATCTTCCTTTACTTTATATATGGGATGCCCGTCACAGTATGGCTTGATAAGCAGTGCTAGGTTGACGCCTGGGATCTAAAGCTGCAAACCCTGGGCCACCAAAGTGGAGCATGTGACCTTAACTGCTACAACACTGGGCCAGCCCCAAGCTATTTTTGTTTTTATGTATACAACATCTCTTTTAATTTTACCAAAGACCCCATTTAAAGCTTTAAAAGCCCTTTTTGGTTCCCCAACTTCTTGTGGTTTTGTTCACGGCTCTTACTGACCAAATGTTTGCGTCCCCCAAAAATTCCTATGTTGAAATACTGGCCCCCAGTGTGATGGTATTATGAGGTGGGGCCTTAGGGAGGTAATTAGGTCATGAGGGTGAGCCCTTATGGAATGGGATTAGTGCCCTTATAAAAGAGACCCCAGGAGAGCCCTCTAGGCCTCTTTCCATCATGCAAAGATACAATGAGTAGACAGTAGTCTGCAACCCCAAAGAGGGCCCTCACTAGAACCCAACCATTCTGGTGCCCTGATCATGGACTTCCAGCTTCCAGAACTGTGAGAAATAAACTTCTGTTGTTTATAAGCCACCCAGTCCATGGTATTTTGTTATAGCAACCTGAAGTAACTAAGACAATCGTCGCTTTTTCTGTTTCTTTATCCCGGCCTCCTTTACACCAAAGGCTTTTTCCAGTGCCCGGTAAGTCTGGGTTGTTCCGTCACATTTAATCAGACATCCTGACAAGCTGATGGGTTGTTTGCTTGGTCGGCAGAGTGGGATTTGGTGAGTAGCAGGCTTTGCTTTAGGGTGACTCAGAAGGAGGACATTCATTGTGCCCTCTTTCCCACCAGATCTCAATGAATTCTGCCAAGTTTCAGTACCCTTATCTTCCAGGAGCCTGCTGGGGCTGAATCTACTACCATACTTAATTTCCCTCATTTCCTTGTTTCTTCAATCTCCCTCTCCCTGGATATGCCTTCCATTAACGTATATAGGTGATTAAGTCTCTCCTCCAGTGTTCCCATCTCAGCAAAGGCACCACCAGTCACTCACACCAGAAATAAGAGAAACACCTATAACAGTTTTCTCTCCTCTGCACTTCCCACCGCTATCCTACACATGCACCTGTGTACACATATGCACACCAACACCCCTCTTCAATCCATAGGTCTTGTTCCTCTCTGTCTCATAAATGTCTTTAGAATTCATCCATCAATTTCTCTTCACCTCCACTGTACAGCTTCATGACTCTCCTCTGTACTAACATAGCTCCTAAGTGGCTATCTCATCTACTCTATCCATCCATTCTCCACACAGCAACCATGGTGATCTTTAAACATATCTAATCTACTCAGGTCTTGTTTCTTTTGTGATCAAGGTCAAAACCCTTGGCACTGATGGCCTACTAAGTCCTGCGTGGTTGGCTCCTGTCTCCTGCCCTTCTGCACAACAAGTTGCTGGGCTTCTTATCATCCCCAACGTGTCCGCATGCCCTGAGGCCTCCACCCTTGCTGTTCCTACTGTATGGAATTATTTGCTCTATGTCCTCACTTACCAGAACCTATTATTCACACTTCAGATCCAAGTTGTAGTGATGGGTTAGTTAGTCCTCAGGGAAGGAGGCAGTGAGCAAAGGTTGAAAACCAGGCCTGGGCCCTGAACGGATGAAAGCCTGCCTGGGAAAGTGACCTTGGTTTTGCCATCTCCTTGGAAACTGCCATGTTATGATCAATATGGAAGGTCATGGACTAGAAGTTGGTTTACTGTAAAATTCCTGAGCTTCGATATTACACCCCGACTGAGAGAGTCATGACTGTCACACAAGCTTAGAGAGACAAGGACACTACAAAGACCAGTTGGAAACCAAGGCTGCCGCTTCTGTGTGTCTAGGTCATCCACCCCACCTTGGACTTTGCCTATAGTAACCATACCTGCCTTGCAAGGATAAGGGGTCAACGAAGAACTGAATGTGACAGCTGCTGGGCCCCTCAGTAAACGAAAACACTGTGGGTGCAGTGTGTCCTGTCAAGGATCATTCTAGACAGCTCAGTAAAACTTGCATTAGATTAAAGCCTATTGTGCCTGTGAATTTGACCTAATCTGAATCTGTGACCATCACAGATGGCATTAGAAAAGACTTCTCTAATTTTATAGAGAGAGTTACAGCCTCCACCCTCTCTCACAGTAACTGCACATCTCTCTCATAATACTGATCATACTTCCAAGGATTTACTCTACGTCTCTCTTCCCTACAAGATGTCATTTCAAGGGGGCAGGGTTCCCTTGTTCATACTTGCATTCCTTGGGGCTAACACAGAGCTTGGCACACTGTAGGTCTTTGACACCTATTTGTTACTGAGGAATGAATGCAGTCTATTTTACTGTAGTGCCTAGCATATTATCTTAATTTGAAATACACTCAATAAATCTCTCACCACAGAGAGCACTGATATCCTGAAACTAGGAAGGGTATCTTCAAAGGGCCAAAGGGCTACCAGCTGTTGGGGCAAATGTGTATGAACACACATACAACTGTACACGTAATTAGAGGCAGTGGCAGTCAACAGATCAGCAACAGCAGAAGCATGCTCAGATGATCTTGCATCAGAGCAATGCCACTGAATATGAAACCAGGACTTCATAGGGCTCTCAATCATAATGTCCTTTCTTACCTTTGAAAGTCTTGAATATTCACTCCATGAAATCAAAATATCACTACATTTTCAGTAGGTTTCTTATAAGCTACAAATTCAGCATAACTTGGAGAATAAAGCTGCTCTAAACACTTGGAAATAATTTTTAATTTAATAATGCACATCTAAACTTGCTTAGATACATGAAACAATGAGTACTGTTTGAGAACTATCATTGCTGCTTCCACAAGTCACTAGACGAAGACTGTTTGCCACATCACTTCAAAAGGTCTAGAGATGTTCTGCTTGGAAGAAAAATGAAGAGTATAGGCCTCTTACCTGCTACCCTTCCAGGAGCCGCACATTCTGAATTCAGCGGGATTTTTCTTTTCAAAGCAAGAGTCTGAGAAGGGAAGAATCATAAATTCAGATTTTAAAAAAACACTGAAATGAAAAAGAATAGCAAATATGCCAGATTATGCTTGAAACAGATGGTTCAGAACTCTCTAAAATGATGGAAGTGGATGTCCAGAGAGGAACTGGAGCCTAAGCCATCAGGAAGGAGCAAGAGAAAAGGAGGGAAGGGAAGAAGGAAGGAGAAGTAGGAGGAGGAAGCAGTGCACCACCACCACTTTGCCCCTCAGGTCATAAAACCAAACCAGAAATCACCTCCTGAGGGAAGCTGGACACAGTCTCAGCCCATGAGAAGCTCATAAACCAAGAAAGACATGGAGAAAGTGTAGCCACATGAGATTCAGGACACATCAAATTGGTGTAGGGTTGACCTCAGTGTGGAGAGGGAGCGACATAGAAACAAGTGATGCTACTGGAGGAAATACTCGAAAAGGGGGCTGGGAAGTTTCTGGTTCCCTTTGGCCAAATTCGAGCATTCTGAAAACTTCTGCAAAACATGACAAAGAAGTGGGCAGAGATTTATGTGGGAAAGCATAGGTGCTGACATTGCTTTTGTGGATGTGGCTTCAGGCTTTTCCTTCTCCATGGAAACCCAAAGAATGAGTCAATTCTCTAAGAAAGGCATCTGTCTACCTGAGAAGCCTGGATGCATGAAGTCATCCCTTGCTCATAGGAGACTTTGTAATGCAGATATGTAGACAGTGTGAGTGAGGATAAATAAAAGTTAACCATGCACAAGCTAAGGAGTGAAAGATGGGGTATTTACCGTCAAGGTTACTGGAATTCTTACAGGACTTCTTGACACATCTCTGGCTCAAATTTCCCATGAAGAGCTGCTGACCTACCAGGGCGAAAATGCTGAGGCAAAAGAGAGTCAGGATCATCACATTGACAAGCTTCCTCACAGAGCGCAGCAAGGCCCCAACAATGACCTTCAAACCTGAGAAGGAGAACAAGTGTGGGGAGATGCCCCTACTCATACACACACCAGACACAGGCAAGGGGCAGACATGGGAGGGAGCAGCCAAGGCCTTGTCTGATTGTAGGCTGGAATTGGAAACTGGCCTGACCTAGGATTCTGATGCCATGAGTTCTATTCCAACTCTATGCCTTAGAAGCTGTCTGTCATCGAGTGGTCCACCAGTCTAGGACTTGATCTCTTCGCCCTGCTCTACATCTGTCACAGGGTTGCTCTGAAGAGCAAATGAGAAGACTTCGAGCAGAAACATGCCACACAGGCATAAGGCATAACTTGATGACAGCTGTGCAGGCACCTCCACAGCTGGGGGTCACATGCAGCATTAAGGCCAAAGTGAGGCCACCCTAGAGAAGGAGTTAGAGTTGTATTTAAGTTTTACTAGTCACTAACTATTACAAGGTACTTGAGGTGCCATGAGACATAGCCAACTTGAGGGGCAGGGAGCTGGAAGAAGGAGAGGAGGAGCTTTGTCTGGATCCAAATATGAGGATGTCTTAGGAAAAAACTCAGGTTACTAGTTATAACAGGGGTCTTTATTTCATTCATTCAAGAAATACTTACTAAGGACCTACTGTGTCCATGGCACACTGTTAGGCAGACAAAGTTCTAAACTAAGAAGGACATAATCTTGCAGTATGCTGGTAAATATTTAACATCAGCTCTCTGAGTGGGGGTTGGAGGTGTATGGGGAAAGTCTTCGTTTGTAGCATTCATAGCTTTCCTTGTTTGCTGAATTCTATAGCAGAGATTCCTCTTCTCTCTCCACACACCCCTCTCCCTCAGCTGGTTTCAAGATACCAACATGACATCCCTGGATGCAGAGTTGGAAAGAGATGTGCACAGTCTGCTGGGGAGCCAGAACAAGTCAGCCCCATTACACCACTGAGTTTTTGGCTCTGCTCCCAACACAGCTGGAGAGATAAACAACCAGATTTGAGTTGTAATGTGTGAGATGACACTAAGTGAAAGTTTCAACTGACCAGTGTAGGCCATGAACAGTAGACTTGAGAACACAAGGCAGCATCCAATAGGAGGCTAAGCCTACACTGGATGACCTTCCCACAAACTGTGAGGCCACAAGGGGAGGAGCCTTGAGGCCAAACTGGGACATTCACTATGTCCCCAGTTGCAGCCAAACAAGAAGTTACTACACCTCATCCAAGCTTGATTTTAATCTATAAAAAGAGGCTAGAGTCTTCTCTAAAGCAACACAATTTGGATGAAAGATGTTTGTGATTCCTGAATAAGTTTTACATGGTCCCATAGAAGATTGTACATCACATCTTTACTTCCAAAAAGGATCCAGGGATCTCATGTGTTCATGAGTCAAAATGTAGACTACGTTCACTTGCTTAGAGGGGAAGGAGACACTAAGGCTACTAAGTGACTGCCTGAATGTATATTTGACCGGTATGAAAATACCAGGGACACAGCTCATGCAGAAAGCCCCTAAATCCGCCAGGAAACCACGGTCAATCTTGCAAAAGAGAGAGAGAGGGAGGAGGAGGGACAAATTCTACCTAAGTGTCCTTCTGACTGCCAGTTTCTTTATCACTATGCAATTGCTTTTGTGGAGTTTCAAAAAAAAATAATCCACTGCCTCTGTTTGAAAATATCCAAATTGCCTGTAGTTTTGGTATTAGAGCTAAGCCATTGACAGAAAATACTAGAAGAGGAGGGAAAAAAAAGGGAGGAGAGAAAGGACTCCAGAGAGGGAATATTTTTTAACAAAGATTTTTTTTTTTTTTGTAAAAGAAAGGAAAGAGGAAGAAGAGGAAAAAGGTCTGCCATAATAACCTCATTTTTGATAAACTGGAATTGACAGTCACAACACATCTTTGGCTTCATCCTGATTCAGAGCGCCTTCCTTACCTGGCTTCCAGGAGACTACCTTTGCTTTCCTTCCTACTTCACTCGTGGCTCCTGCTCATCTCCTTTGCTGGTTGCTCTTCTTCCCTCCCCTTTAAGGTTGCAGTGCCCCAGCACTTGGTCCTGGGTGCTTTTCTATTCTCTATCTTTGCTCACTCCGTTGGTAATCTCATCAGATTTCATAGCTCTAAATAGCATGCATAGGCTCATAATTTCCAAAATGATTATCTCCAGCCCAGACAGTTCCCTGAACTCCAGACTTGTATATTTAATTGCCTACTTGATACTTTCACCTGGATGTCTCAAAGCCATCTCAAACAGAACATGTCCAGGCTAAATCTTAATCTGACCCCCAAGATCCACTCCTTTCACAGCCTTCTCTATTTCAGGCAATGATGACTCCTTATTTCCAGTCACTCAGGCCAAAAACCTCTACTCATTCTTGACTTTTTTCTTTTGCTCACACCACACATACAATCAACCTATCAGGAAATGCTATACTTTTACCTTCAAATTTATACAGAATCTGATCACTGTCCAACAACTCCTCTACCACTACCTGATCTGAGGGCCCCACCATGTCTTGCGCAGATTATAGCAGTGGCCTTTTGCATCAGTTTGGGTTCTCTGAGAAGCAGATACTCTGTGATTAGATGTGCAAGAGATTTGGTGGGTGAAAAGCCTGTGAAGAATAAAGGGGAGGGAGTAGAGTTGGCAGAAAGAGCCTCAGACTCTGACACAGGGCTGACACCTGGGAAAGGAGAGTGGTAAGAAAGCAAGCTTGGACAGGAAGTGCCTCAGACTGTAGTGCTGCTATGAGAAAGTGTCAATGAGGTTGCTGGGGAGCCCCTGGACCAAAGTCCTCCATGAGAGGAGTCCCATGTCCTTCAGGACATGCAGGGAAAGTACAATCCTGGTATGAATGCAGTGGTGAACCAAGAGAGGTGGCAGTTGGGACCATTAGTCAACTGTGCTCCCTAGAGCAGGAGATCTGAGCAGCACATTTCCATGGTGACCACTAAGCCTCCTGTCTGCTTCTGCTCCTATCCTGCTTCTGCCTTTTATCCCTCACATTCTATTTCCCATACAACAGCCAGAGTAAGCCTTTTAAAACATAAATCAGATCATGTGACTACTCTGCTCAAAGTCCTCACATGGCTCCCATTACTCTCAGAGCAAAGCCCAAGTCCTCTCAGTGCTTAGATGGCCCCCCTTCACCTGGGTGGTCCCACCTCTATCACCTGGCCCCTCACTCTGTCTGCTCCAGCCCCATCCATATCTTTTCTAATCCTCAGTCTTCTGACTGGCGGTGTCCTATGCTCAGAACACTCTTTCCCATATATCTGCTTGTGAAACGCTCTCACCGCCTCCATATCTGCTCACATCTCACCTTCTCAGTGACACCTATTCTGACCACTCTATTTAAGATCACAACCTGCTTCCTCTAACCCCTGTGACTTCCAATAGCCCTCAAGTTGTCTACTTTTCCATTTTATTTTTCCATGGCACATGTCACTTTCTAACATGATATATAGTTTACTTATTTATGAGAGTTATTGCTTAGTGACTGTCTCCCTATTCCCCACCCAGAATGTAAACTCCACAAGGGCGAGGATCTTTGTCTGTTTGCTCACTGATACATCCAAACAGCTAGCACAGTGTCTGGACATATTAGGCTCTTAAGACATATTTGTTGAATGATCAAATAAATAAGTAAAACAGTTTGTTTGTTTTTGGTTTACAAGACATATTGAGAAATTTTAACTATAAAACAACATTCTCTCCCACTAAAAGCCAGTGTTAAAAGTTAGAGTGACTTACCCGAAACTACTGAAATTGCCTTCAATGCTCTGAACACTCTAAAGGTACGCAGGGATGACAGACTGATCCCACTGAACTTATTTGGCGAATATGACACAAACCTACAAGACAAAGCACAGAGAAAGCCCAGGCTTGCTCAGTGCTGTGGCTGCAGAGCATATCTCCACAAAGGCCACAGGTAAGCATGGCCTGGGGCCTGTGTCCACCAAGGTGAAGCCTGCAGCCTCACCTTCCCAGCCCCATCTTTATCTCAGGGTCTGGAAATACTACTTTCTACTGTTATAGACCATAGATTGCATACGAAGCTGTTCTCAGCTAATTTTTATACTTGGACATAGACGAGGATTCTTTGAAATAGTGCATTCAATTGTGGCTATATCCATGAATAAAAAAAAATCAACTCAAACATTTATTGGCTGGCTGTCAAGTTGCAGGCCCCAGTGCACTTCCTGAGGTCTCACCGCATAGTCAAGCCCGAAAGGAAGCTAGCAGGTCTGGCTCCAGAGCCTGCACTTTTCCCCACTGCACTACACCACCTTTCAATAACCAAGAGCACCCAATCATTGAACTTCAAATGTAAGACTCTAAAATTAATAGCAGCTACATCAAAGGGCTTTTGTGAATATTAAACAGAAAAATACATGCAAAGTGCTTGAAACAATGGCTGGCACAAATTAAGTAATGTTAGGTTTATTATTACTGTACTGGCAATGAGCCATTGTTCTTCTTGCTTTTTATTTTGCTGACTCCGTCTCACAGTTCAGATGCCAAATTGATGTCCTCTCTTTCAGGAAGAACTTCAGCTCTCTCAAAATGGACCATGGACTTAAACAAAACAGCCAAAACTATAAAACTTCTAGAAGAAAACATGAGAGAAACTCTTTGTGATCTTATAATAGTGAAAGAATTTTTAGATTCCTTGGTTCTTCCTACATGCTCTGACAGCCCAATACACGCGTAGCTCCTATCCTAGCACTCATCCTATACGAGATTGTAACGGTCATTAATTGTTTCTCTTCCCCTCTGAACTGTGAGCTTCAAGAGAGTGAAGACCATGTCTGATTTTTTTTCATTATCGCAAACCCTATATCTTGCATAGAGCCTGGCCCATAACAGGCCAGTGTTTGGTGAGTGAACGGCTGAAGGAACGAAAACAGGAGTATTGACCTAGAAATGGATTTATGCATGGAAGCCTCTGGCCAGTTGGCTACATGGTGCTGTTCAGGACCAACCAACACTGTACTCAAACCTCTAGGCATTACTGGGCCATACTCAGCCACTCACATGGATACATACAGAGCCCTGATGGGAGCCAAGGGGCTTCTTTCCTACCCCAAGTCTCTTCAATAAAATCTTTAATATTCTTACGCTGTTGCAATGACAATGGAGTCCAGCCAGTTCCATGGATCTCGAAGGAAAGAAAACTCATCCAGAACAAAACCTCTTGCCAATATTTTTATCAAAGCTTCAAAAATATAAATCCCAGTGAAGACATACCTACAAAGCAAATCATTCAGAACAAGAAGGAACATGATAAGTGATGTGAAAAGCAGAGAGCCCATCTGTCTTATCTGGCCTTAATGGGTTTTACTCTATTTCAATCTGACGATTAACATGCTGGTCTTCAGCAAACCAGAGTTCAGAAAGGCAAGCTCCTCAAGCAAGTTTCGGTATTTAGAATTTCTGAGAAACAAGCCCATGTATAAAGTTGTAAAGCTGATTTTCAATGCCTAGCTTCATGGCCATATTCTTGAGAGTAGTTTCGGCCAATATGTGGGGGTTGTAGTTTGTCACGGGTATTCTAGAGTTGTCACTCTGATGTACAGAAGGGGACAATGGCAAAGGAACAAAGAGAGTAAATGATGAGGCTAAAAACTGAATCTTTCCACATCCCATGTTCATGGATTAGAAGATTTAATATTATTAAGATGTTCATACTACTCAAAGTGAGTAGTAAGCAATCCCAATCAATGTAAACCCTATCAAAATCTCAATGACATTTTTTGCACAAATAAAAACTCAATCCTGAAATTCACATGGAATTTCAAGGGACCCTGAGTAGCCAAAACAATCTTGAAAGAAAAGAACAAAGTTGGAGATCTCACACGTTCTTATATCAAAACTTATCACAAAGCTAAAGTAATCAAAATAATGTGGTACTGGCATAAACACAGACATAAAGACCACTGGAGTAGAATAGAGAGCCCAGAATAAGCCCTTGCATATAGGGTCAAATGAGTCTCAACAAGGGTGCCAAGACTATTCAATGAAAAAAGGACAGTCTTTTCTACACATGGTGTTGGGAGAGCTCAATATTCACATACCAAAGAATGAAGTTGGATGCTTACCTTACACTACGTACAAAAATTAACTCAAAATGGTTGAAAGAGCTACATGTAAGGGCAAAAACTATAAAACTCCTAGAAGAAAATATTTGCAAATCATATATCTGACGAGAGGTTAATATCTGGAAAATATAAAGGACTCCTATAACCCAACAACAAAAAAATCAAATAATCCAATTTAAAAATGGCCAAATAACTTGAACAGACATTTCTCCAAAGACGATACACAAATGACCAAAAAGCATACGAAAAGATGTTTAATATCACTAATCATGAGGGCAATGTAAATCAAAACCACGATGAGATATCATCTCATACTCATTAGGATGGCTACTTTTAAAAAAACGAAAAACAACTAGCGTTGGCGAGGATGTGGCGAAATTGGTACACTTGTACACTATTGGTAGGATTGTAAAATGGTGCAACCACCATGAAAAACAGCATGGAGGTTTCTTAAAAAATTAAAAGTAGAATTGCCATATAATCTAGCAATCCCACTTCTGGGTATGTATACAGAAGAATTGAAAGCAGAGGCTCAAAGAGTTATTTACACACACATGTTCATAGCAGCACTATTCACAACAACCAAGAGGTAGAAGCAACCCATATGTCCATTGACAGATAAATAGATCAATAAAATGTGGTATATACATACAATGGAATATTATTGGGCCTTAAAAAGGAAGGAAATCCTGTCACATACTATGACGTGGATGAACCTTGATGTCATTATGCTAAGAAAAATAGACCATTTACCAGGAAACAAACACTATGTGATTCCACTTATATGAGGCACCTAGAGTAGTCAAACAGGTAGAGACAGGAAGGAAAATGGCGGTTGCTAGGGACTGGAGGGGAGGGCAGAACAGGCAGTTATTGCTTAATGGATGAAGTTTCAGTTTTGCAAGATGAAAAGAGTTCTGGAGACGGATGGTAGTAATGGTTGCACAACTATTTGGTACTTAATATCAGTGAACTGTATACTTCTAAAAATGGTTAAGATGGTAAATTTTACCTAATGTCTATTTTACCACAATTTTTTAAAAAACGATTTCCATTTTCTTCCCTGAGTCCTTCATCATGTTCTGCCATCTAATTTATTTCCCCTCTTCCCCTTCCCCCTCCTCCAAAACCCCCCACAATATCCTACCTCTCTTGTAATAATCCCAAGCTGTCAAAAATGCTGCATCTGTGTGCACATGTGCACACACACACACACAACACACACTGGTTCCACTTTGGGGACAGAAACAATCCGTTGATTCAGAGTAAAAGAAGAGAACATTTACTGGTAGAATATCCACCCACTGTTAGCCCTCAAAGCTAATGAATCAAGGTTTTGGGAACCTGAAAACTCCCAAAGCAGCCAAGTCCAAGAGCAGAAGTGGTCATGAGGCTGCCACAGGCAAAAGCTCCTCTCTGCTTCAGCCTTTTTCTAAGCTGCTCATCTTTTAGGCGACAAATGAACATAGCAGATAAATTAATCTTTGCCCTGAAATACCATCTTTTAAACTCAGGTATAATTTATAAAGTTATAGGTATTTTGAAAAAAGGCTGTAATTGCAGACTTGTGGGATTTCACAAATCTTCATCTAGATCTCGAGCAAATGAGAGAGCAGCCCCTGACTGCCACTTGTGCTTGGCCATCTAGCCTCCCACCTCCCACCACCACCATTCTCTCTTTTCCAACAGAAGCCTGGCCAACGGGACAGGCAAAGCAAGATGACATCTGATATGGAGTAGCGCCATGCCCACCAGCAGGAAGCAGGGCTGGGGAGCTCCATGACGGGGAGACCCCAACCCACCAGGCAAATGAGGTCCTCCAGAGTGTGTCACTGTCAGCTCAGGCATAGTTAGGGTTTCCAGTCAGCGCCATGGGTGATGCCCAGCTAGGTTAACAGAACACCACTGCCTGTCCTAGAGGACTTCTGAATTCATTCTCTGAGAGCTATTAACTTGGAATCAATTTCCTCATGGAAAAGTTTTCTAACCAAAGAAAACTGGAGAAACTCTCCCCCGTAGGCTTAACCAGTCACTCAGCTGCATGCCTCCTTTTATGAGGATTTTTTTTTATTGCTTTTTCTCCCCAAATTCCCCCAGTACATAGTTGTCTGTTTTTACTTGTGGGTCCTTCTAGTTGTAGCATTTGGGATGCTGCCTCAAGGTGGCCTGACGAGCGGTGCCATGTCCACTCCTAGGATCCGAACCAGTGAAACTCTGGGCCACCGAAGCAGGGCGCGTGAACTTAACCACTCGGCCACAGTGCCAGCCCCTGTTCTGGAGGAGGACATTTTTACCAGCCTCCTCCCACTCCCACTTTCATGCATCTTCTGCCATCCAAATGCTGCCAGGTGAGAGCAGCTGCTTCTCCTACCACCCTACCCCCCAACCCCAGCCTCTCTAATTCCCTACAGCCTAGACAAGGCTTCTTTCATATCTCTGCCTTATGAGTATTTTAATAGTGAAAATGGCCTTCAAGCAAATTAGCTTCCAGTTGGGCCACTGCTTCCTGTTAATGGGAAGAGAGGACTCATTGCATCTTTCCAGAAGTGCTGGGTAGGGCAAACCACTGCTAAGGGAGCAATGCCCGCTCCTGGATCTGTCTCCTTCATGGGTCCCACTCTGTTGACCACAAAGCCTTCCAGGGATGCTGCAGTAAAACAATGAGCAGCAGCGCCTGCACTCTCAGTCAGCTCCTCACATGAAACAGTCAACTCTCCAGAGGAGAGACCATTTTCCTCAGTGATGCTACTAGGATGGTTTCTATTCCCAGAGGTGTCCATTGTGGCATATAGAATCATACGAAATTCTAGAAAAGGCAAAACTAGTCTAGAGTAACAGAAAGCATATCAGTATTTGCCTGGGTTTGGGAGTAGGGAGTAGGAGATTGCAAAGAGGCATGTGGAAACTTTTTAGGGTGGCCGGAATGCTTCATATTTTGATTTTGGTGGTTTCTATCACATAGTTAAATATGTGATAGAAATAAATGGCCTCTTATTTTTTATTCAATTTATTATTCAGTATATTCCTGAAAGATTAAGTAAATGTGTTAAACCAGAAAAACTAGGATTTTTTAATCAAAATATAGAAGTTTCTAAGTTAAAAACATCAACTTACGTGTCTAAGTAGCCAATTAAATATTACAAAAAGTTAATATTTTAATTTTACAAAGAATTCACTCAAACTGACCAGGAAAAAAAACATGACACATGGGCAAAGATGGGAATACACAATTCACAAACTAAAACAAAAAAGTTTCCATCTGGAAATTAAGGAAATGCAAATATTTTTAACTTCATAAGTTAATGAAAAAAAACTGCAATGCTGGCAAAAATGAAGCATGACTGGTTATTAGAATACAGAGTATTTTGATAATGAGTAAATTGATACACAGAGAGTAGCTTTATGCAAAGAGATGCTTGTTGCAACGCTATTTACAGTAGTAAAATACTAGAGTGGTTAAGTAAATTATGGTTTATTCACTAGACAAAATATTGTATAGCCATCAAAATGGACTCCTAGAAAGCCCATGTAAGCACAAAGAAAACCACTTAAAAGCTAGACATAAAATTTGTATGTGCTGTTTATTACAAATGTAATTTCAAGTAGCCTTTAAAGACAATTGTAGATACATATATATAAAACTGACTGCTAGCATTTGTGTTGAGGAACTGGGGTTATTTGTGATTTTTTCTTTCTCTATCTAAACTCTGAAGTAATCACAATTCTTTTAGGTCTATTTGTTTAAAAACTTAGGACAGACGAATTCAGGGTGAACACTTACTCGGCATTGTCGGCATCTTTATTACTCCTGTCCTTCTCACTAGCTGTGGCCATGAACACGCAGTTGATGATGACGGTGCAGATGATGAACATGCTGAACAATGTGAGCGGCGTCCGTTAAGGCAGCTACACTCCAGGACGGCACGTGTCATGAGTCGTTGTAGTGGAGGCTGTGGGCAGCCCTCCAGGTATCCTTTTCTGCAGGTGCTCCTGTCCTCTAACCATAAATGTTGGCTGAGAACAACTCACAGCTGTCCCCTCCCCTGAAGATCTGTCCTCGGCGAATGGCAGCCTCCTCACCTGGAGGGCTACAACCGCCTTTCACACGTCTGATGGACAGACTTACAAAAATCTGGCCCCTTGCTTCCGGGCAGGGCAGCTCTGTGACACAATTCGTGCGCAGGAGCTTCCCGTGGGCTCATGCTGACGCAGTCTCAGCTGAGACCCCATCCTTGTTTGGCTCCCCCTTTTGCTCCAGGCTGCTTCCCTTTTTCCTCCTCCAGAGAGCATTCCCTTACTAAATCACTTAAATAAGAATCCACATCTGGGGCTCTGCTTCTAGGGAACCCAACCTACATAGTTATTCCCTCCCATTCTCCTCAATACATCATTATGTCTACCAATCCATGTCCTTTTCACTGCCCCAAGTCTAAAACTACCTACTGTCTCCCCACCCCCTGCACACATCAGACACGCTCAGTAATTCCCACTTGTCTTTATCCTTTAAGATTGAGGTTGTGAACTCGAAGTCTTAAGAGCCCGGCAAATCATATAAATGGGTGAAACGGGCTGATGTTGGTCACAGAGAGAGGTGGAGACATGACGAAGCAGAGCTTGCAGGTCCCCTCTAAAAGAGGCAGTGGTTTCTCACCACACAGATTTTTTCCAGGTAGGAATGCAGGCCTGGCCTTGACAGAGGTTCCACTTTTCAAAAGAAGCTGGAAATCTGGATGTTTAACATTAGAGAGCGTTTCCAAAAAGTTTTAAACACTGTGTAGGTCCAACACAACACATTTATCAACTACATACAGTGCACAGGTTGCCAGTTTACATCATTTATTTGGGTCTCAACTTAGATGTTCCTTTCTCCAGGAAGTCGTCCTTGATGCCTCCAAAGCACAGTGGTATCTCTCCACACTACCACTTCCAGACTGCCCATCTGACTAAAGAAATTGCCTGCCTTTTGACCCATCTCCTTCTGAAGCCAAAGGATCCCAGAGCGGGGACCACGCCTTGTTGACCCCCAGCACTAACACAGCCCCTGCCGCATAGCAATAGGCACTCAGCCAGTATTAGTTGAAAAAATGAACTGTTTCCACTCAAAAAACACGTGAACATCTTGGGGCTCATGCACTTTCCACATGACCTAGACTTAGTAAAAGATGCAAGAAAAGGATATGAATGGACTGAGATTCTAATGGCTAAGCCTCGGATTGAATTGAAAGGCCCAAAAATGAACAAGGCACGTTTGGCACTGAAGCGGTAGATTGTTCTCTTTTTGTTCAACACCATGAATGTCTGCAAGACAACAAAACACAATATAAATTACATGCAGTGACACAACAATATTTATCATGAGTTCATTTAGAGAAACTTCAGTGGAACCATGATTTGAGGCACGGCTTGGCTTATCATGATACCACAGCTTCTGACTGGAGAGCTGTCATTCTGAGGCCCATGGTATTTTCTGACCAGCCTACAATGACTCTGGAAGCCAACAGATCCCCCCATGTGGCCTGGGTCTCACTCAGAGTCCCAAAATAATTGGTGGGTTTTGGACTGTTCACCCAGTGGAATACTCTGGAGGCTCCAGAAATGGAGAACATAGGCCCTGCAAAAAAAAAAAAAAAAAATAGAGGTGAAGAGTAACAACTGGGGCAAACAAAACCCTTCATATTGTACCCTACGGTATGTATCCATGGAGATAAGAACTAGAACAGAACTGGAAGACATGGAAGTATTGAACATTCCCATTCAGCAGATTATTTTAAATTATTTTGATTACTAATGAAAACTTTGTAACAAATCTTAGCATAGTCAGGGACCTAGAGAGTCCACATTGTTAGGCCTGAGCGGTTCTACATGAGATAGTCTGCCAGTCAATTCTGATCTTGAGGATCTTTAACAAAAAAGTCACCAAGGTTTTTAGACTTGCTCTGCCATTCCTTCTGTGCATATAAAGGCAAATCTGCCTGTAGTTCTCAACCGGCAGGGGAGGCCCTATAGAACGCATCTGGAAAAGCATGTGGGTGTTTTTGGTTGTCTGTTACAATGAACAGAGGCTCTACTGGCCTTTAGTAGGTAGGTCCAGGGATGCCAAACTCAGGACAGACCTGCCAAATGATGCATTGTCCCACCCAAATTGCACAATTGGGCCCCATTGAAAAATATCAAACCCATGCCCATTTCCTTCTAGCACATCTTCCTGGGCTCTGGGAATGAAGCAGCCCCTGGACAACAACCTATCACTCATAGGCTTCTCACATCAACCCCCAGACCTCCCTCTTTCCATTTAACTGTAACCTGGCTGTCCACTTATGTGTCCCCAAGGCTGTTAGCTACAAAAGCCTTCACAGAACAAGGGTCATCCTGGTCTCACTGTGCCACTGCTCCTTTCAGATTTGTGAAAGCATACTTGACATGTAATTCAGCTTGTTCTCAGACAGGAAAGACAGGCCTTGTCACCCAGGCCCAAGACAGCAGAATGGGTGCTGCCTTGACTGAGGTGCTAGAACTTCAGCCACTGCCAATCATCAATCTTCCTTCATCGAGTTGCTGGAACTTACTTGTCTGCTGGCCATCCGGCTGCAGGGAAAAGTGTGGACTAGGATATTTTCCAATGCCTCCATAACAAAATGAAATGGGCCATAGGATTCTTCAAAGGTATGAGCTCAGGAGCTCAAGAACCACTTTGGGGATTCTGTACCCCTCCTTTGGATAGAAAGACAATTTTAGGGCAGACAGCAAACCTCTTCTTAAGGTGGGTCACCCCAGATTAATAGGTAGCATGATATGGCTCTGCTTCTGTGCCCTTTGATTTTGATATTTTATTAATGCCTCTTATGACTGCTTTAAATATTTTAGCTAATAGTGCATTTAACTACACTTGCCAGGGTTTTAATGACTAAAATGATAGGTACCAGCTCCTCCTGTCTGCTTGCTGACACATCTGCACCCCTTTCCCTACAGCTCTTCAAAATGGAAGCTTCCAAAGAGAAGAAGTGACCCATGACTATAGAAAGACCCATTGGGTTTGAGTCCTAGCTCCACCCCTCACTGGCTGACTTCCCCATCTAGGCTTTTGTTTCCTCATCTATACAGCAGAGTGCTAACGATAGCCACACATACTTCGCATGACTGTTGAGAGTACCAGCCACGTGAGGTCATGGGTGTGCAGAGCTCTAAATGAGTATCATGTCTTCTGATTTAAGGGAGGGTCCAGGCTGAGAAGAGATGGTCCTAGAACATCCACCCAGGCTGGAACAGAGCCTGTCCTCACAGGACTGTCCGCAGCACACCGACCTGCTGCCAGCCTCGTAGGTCTCCTATCCAACTCTGAGGCAGAAGGAGGCCTCCAGCAGTTAACTCACCTCCAACGACTCTGCCTCCAAGAAGCCCCTGGAATTCTGGGGCATAAGGAGAAGGAGAAATATTGGAGTATTTTTACTCCTTCATCTCTCTTCCCTTTTCTTGTCCTTCCCACTCATACCCCATTTTCCTCTCTATACACAGTCCCCATTTGGCCTGGTGACCCTAAGTTTGTCCCAATTCAAGGACATACAAACCAGGCAACCTTTCTTTGGAGAGATCAGTTTCTCATGGTTGCCAGCAAAGAATTTCTCAGTGTCCCATATTTTCTAGGACTTCCCCCAAACTCCCCAGCCTCCTTGCTCCCTGACCTCAGTCTGATGAAGTGGGTTTTCTATTCTCTGCTGGATCACAGTGAATTGATGATGTCAAGGTCTTCTGAGCCTTCCCTGAAAGGGAATGGTCTGCAGAGGACTATCCTCATTGCCCCAGGCCTTCAAACAGCCATCAGAGGAGCCCAGAGTTCACACTTCCTCATTCAGGAGCCCCTTTAAGGAACTTTCACTAGAATTTCCCTGCAAGAACTACAACCAGGTAGATGAAATAGCAAACCTCTCACATGTTGGCCTGGGATTTACATATAATATGCATGTGCCTACTTGATTACCTTATTCTTAGACTTCATTTATTGAGCTCATATTATGCATCAAGTGTTGGTCTAGTGCCTTGACCTTTATAAATCTCATTTAATAGCCTAAAAAACCTATTGCCTAAGAGACTTGCAAGATAAACTCTTGTTGCCAAAATGGAGATTTCTGGACAGCAATATTAATCCTTCATATCAGTATAATGCTTTACAGTTTATAAAGTGTTTCCATAGCATGTCTATGCTGTAAAGTAGGGAAAGCAGGCATTATTTCCATTTTACAGATTAGAAAGAAGAGGATTAGTGAAGTGATTTACCCAAAGTCAAAAAGCCAGTCACTTGAAATGGCCTATACTCAACTTTTGTGACTGCTGGTCCAGTCCTCTTTCCTGACACCATTTTATGTTTTCTCTGTTCTCCTTTTAACCTTTCTGCTGCTCCTAGTCCTCATCTTCTTCTCCAAGACATCCATTACAGAGAGAGAACAAGGACTGAAAGGAGTTCTCAGGACTATGAAGGCAATGACAGGGATGATAGCAAAGGAGAAGCATGGGCCCCCTCTGCAAACCCCAAGATCAGTGTTTGAAGATCCTCATAACACTAGTTATAATGGCATGGTTAGAACATCCCAGCCTCCTTATGGAACTACCTTATGATTTTTGTAGAATGGGTCCAAGTCTTCCAGGGGCTTTGCTATCAGCTCTTTGGGAATGTCGCCATAGAGCTTGGGCAACTTCCTGGAGACCTTTAGGTCAAGCTGAGGTCGAGGCTGGGGTTCTGCCGCTGTCTGGTCTTTGGACTTCTTTTTCTCCTTTTGGATGGCAATCCGCTTCTCAATTGCAGCCAGAGAGTCAGAAGTGAAGGGGCGGAAATTCCGTGCACCTGGGAAGATCACCGGGTAGCACAAGTTGTCCATCTTCACCCTTGAAACAGAGAGAAACAGCACATCCTCATAGAGCTCTGGGAGGCAGAAATCACACAGCCTGCCCTGGACTTCCACTCTCCAAAGATGATGTCTTGGGGGTCTACAAGAATTGAGACTGAGGTGAGGGGGCTTGGGAGCTCATTGGCTGTGGAGCAGATCAGAAGAAGTGAGCACCACTGTGGACAGAACAGGAAATTTGGGCATAGATAAGACCAAAGCCAGGCATCATTCCTGGAGGCTCTAAAGATAGGTGGGAAGTTGAGTTCAGGAAAAATGGGCAGAAGAAGTCCAGACTCTAAAATTGAGACCCAAGCATGGAGCAAGATGATAAGACTAAACTAGCTGAACTACTGAAGTGAGGCCTGCAGAGGGTGGACAAATGGCCATAGTGTGAACAGGAGAGGAAGAAATGAGGAGTTAAGTAGGCCGCAGCTATGGTTGCAAAATCAAAACTAAGTGCATAGGTCTTTTCCCACATTTGGTCAGCAAAGCTTTTAAAATGTGATGGAATGGAAACAAAAGAGCCATAAACATAGGCATGAACATTTATACTAATACCTATGATCCCGTGACAGCTCTCTTACTTCTGAGACCCAGACCTGGCAGAAGTGAGACCCTAAGAAAGCAGAAAGGATGTGCCAAAGCTAACAAGGTCACTCCACCATAGGATGATAGCTCTCCCTGGCCCTATCCCTGACAGCCCCTTCTACAAGGATTTTCTCTACATCCCCAGGCTTAAAACTAGACTCTGAGAAAAAGCAGTAGTGTTCAGGTTGAATGACTTTATTCCTGATGTCAGGCCTCCTCTTCCTTTCTTACTTACTAAATGCTGATCTAGGATTCACTCCCAAACCACTCCAGGGAATTACAATGGGGAATCCAACATAGCATTGGGGTTTGTTCATTCAACAACTATGTGCTCAGTGTCTCTTCTAGGCATAGTGGTAGAGAGTAACGGTGAAAAAAACCATAGTCCCTCCTCCTGGTCCTACAGTTATGCTGTCATGGTGTGATGGAGAAGACAGATAAAAGACAGGAGATTTCAATACAGTAAGACAAATGCTACTATAGTGAGAAGTAGAGGGTGCTATGTCTGTGCATAGGATGGGTGTCTAACCAGTTTTGCAGAATCAGGGATAGCCTTCCAAAGCTTTAATGTCTCAGTTGAGACCTGAAGAAGATGTAAGACTTAAACAAGAAAAAAAGGGAACATCAGAGTGTTGCAGGAGAGTAAGAAGCATGTACAGGGACCCTTGGGTGCAAAAGAACATGGTGTCCATCAATGGGTTCTGTGTGCCAGGAACGGAGATTTTGTGGAGTGGAATGGCCAGATAAAGCTTCAATCAGCATTGTGAGAATGTGTGGGGCCCTGTAATCCTTAGTAAAGACCATGGACTTCACCCTGAGGGTAATCTAGAACTTGGGACAGAGGATGAAGGAGATGAGGAGGCTACAATAGGAGAAATGAGCTTGGAAACTATTGCAACAAATCACAACCACTGAGGATGGCCTAACGGAGTGGATGAATTTGAGAGTCATGGGAAGGGAGGAATTTGAGCGAGAGTAAGGAACCAAGCTTCCTGGCTTGGGCAGCTAGGTCAACAATGGTGTTACTCACTCAGAGAGAGAGAGCACTAGGGAAGGAAGAAGCTTAGGGGTAATAAATTCAGTTTAAAACACGTGGAGTTGAAGTCGCCTATATGATCTGCAAGTGGAGAGAACCAGAAGGCACTTGAATACAGGGGAGTCACGGCTTATACACGCTAGGCTCTGAAAATAGCACATAAGAAAAAAACATAGTCAAAACTTCTCTTGAAAATCCCTCAAGAAGGCACCATACTGAAGAACATCCCAGCTCATTGGTCAGCAAATTCAATACAGCCAGCCTTTCTTCTAGTGTCAGAACCAGTCACACTTTCCTCAGTTAATCCCAAAACAGAGTAGTTGGATTGTGTTTAAGGGCCATGACAAAGGCAACATGTGTGTCTTTAGACACACTGAAGGAAATGTGATACTCACAATGAGTGAGCCATCTGTCAGCTGAAATGAATATGGAACCTTATCTTCACTGCATTCTGTCCCATCCATTCAGGGTCAAGCTCTTTATGGATGCACCTGGATGAGGGAGTTGATCATACTACTTAAATTCCTCTCTCTCCCCTCCCATCCCTCCATTCCTCTTCCTTTCCATTCCATTCCTCTCTCTTGCTCATAAACATATATAATTGAATTTGTATAAATGAAGTGGGCATATAATGAGACTCTACTATATTTGGCTCTAGAGCTCATGAAAGACATGTAAGACAGGGATGAAGTCTTTTGTACTCAACAGCATATCGATGTTAGTTGATCGTATAAAATGGATGAGCCAAGAAAGACCCTGGATAGCAAAAACTGGACCTTACACTAAGTCACAACAAGGAATCCAGTGTAGGGTTGCTGCCATAACAATAAGACTATTAAAAAAGAAACTGGACATTGATCCTGACATTCTGACTCTGGGGATATTTTGCCTGGGTTCTTTTTTCTCTCATTTTTTTGAGGAAGATTAGCCCTGAGCTAACATCTCCTGCCAATCCTCCTCTTTTTGCTGAGGAAGACTGGCCCTGAGCTAACATCCGTGTCCATCTTCCCCTACTTTTTTCTATGTGCGACGCCTACCACAGCATGGCTTGTCAGACAGTGCCATGTCCGCACCCATGATCCAAATCGAGAACCCTGGGCCACTGAAACAGAACGTGCGAACTTAACCACTGCGCCAGCCCCTTTATTCTCTTTTTTTGATGAGGAAGATCGTCCCTGAGCTAACATCTGTGCCAATCATCCTCTATTTTGTAGGTGGGATGCTGTCACAGCATGGCTTGATGAGCAGGGCACAGGTCCATGCCTGGGATCCAAACCCACAAACCCCAGACCACAGAAACAGAGAGCAAACTTCACTACCATGCCACAGGGCCAGCCCCTTGCCTGGGTTCTTGAGGAAAAGAAATTTGATAGAAATAAATAACACAAATAAAACTGACAACCCTTGAAACTGCACATGTTAAAATTAGTTATAGATGATGAAATAACTAAATGTTACCTTAAAGGAAACATTGAAAACTGCAAAAATTGACCCAGAAAAAAGAGGATTTTATAAAAATTATCATCTCAAATCTGACAAAATAAAATCACATGCAGTAAATTTTTCTTATTAACTGAAAAAAATTGACGGAAGAATCAAATATTTTTAATAAAAGTAGACTCAGGAAAATTGGACTATGGAAATAGATGCTGCACAGGCAAAGTTTAATTAAATTAAAAATCAATATGGCACATACTATAATTGGTAAAATTTGGAATGATTCAAATCTTCTTATGCCAAAAATACTTAATTCTGAAAATTTTCTTTACAGAAAATAGATTGCATTGCATGGAAAATTGGTTGAAGAATTAAATTGGCTAAGTGCAATTATGTGCCAAGCCTTACTAATAATCAAGTATGAAGTATACAATAATCAAATTTTTCAGACCCTAAATGACTCTTTACAAAAAAATTATTTGAGTATATGCTCTCAAACAATGAAAAAAGAATCCAAAAAATGGAGGATGATGGAATCCAAGACAGAGTGCTTCGAACCCAACAGTGCAATAAAAAAATTCCAGGGTGACTTCAAGCCACTTCAACTGGCTTAAAAAGCAATTGATCCAACTAGAATTAGAAGTCAGAGAGTCCTGAGAAAAACCCTTCAAGAATAAAGTAAATTCCCTGTAACAAAGAATATGATTAAGAGACTGGTTTCTTAACAGGTAAAAAAGAAAGGTAGTTAGAAGTGCCATCAAAACAAATTGTTCTTCAGAAAGTCATGTTTTACATATGAAGCCAACTAAATGGTTTGGGCAGCTTTCAGAATATAAGAATAGGAAGAAAAGAGAGTCCACTTGATCTTGACACTTAGAACATTCTCCTTCATGCGGCAGATCAGGGACATCAGAGTCCACCTCCTTCTCTATGGGTCCAAATATGGTTTTAGAAACTAGTAGCTACAAAATCAGTATATCATGAAAGTTATATGTTAGTTTTCAATTTTAACAATCATCCTATAGATAAAGCAAAATTAATTACAACTACAGAATAGAATTTAACTATTATAAAATTTTATTGCAAGGTGAAGTTGGAGAGAAAAGATGAAGAGAATCTCAGAGACACCAATTTCCTCATCATAAATACTTGGAGAATCAAGACATTCGATGGAAGGTTGATGGATCAAGCAGTAAGAGTATAAGTCTCTCTCTTAAAATTATGCAGGTAATCAAGAGCAAACCAAATGAAAAATATATGTAACAAAAACTGGAAGAATCATGGGCAAGGCAGAAAGATTATCGTCAGTAAGCTAAATTCCTCATCTTGCATAGGGACAATTCAATAACTTCCACTTAACCTTGATAAATCAAGAAATAGAAGTATAACAGAAATATTTTAAGTTAGTGAGACAAGGACCAGAAGACTGAAAAACTGAAATGGGTAAAAGTGGGACTCAGGATACAGGTGAAGGGGGAGATATTTTATTTTTCATGTTATATTCTTCCCAACAGTTTTTCCTTCCGAGCTATTTGAATTATGTGCATGTATGTGTAACTTTTACAGGACTGCAAATTTCAAGGGCTCAAAACATTCTCTGATTCAAAATAGAAAGTCAAAATATCAGGTACAATGACAAGCTCTAAATCTCCCCAAATCACAAAGGAAGCAAACATAATCTCAACTTGCAGTCCTAACCCAGGAGGCCAGTGACGTGTGAATTATGATTTGATGTAGGAACTCACAGAGACTGGGAGGCTCACGAGGAGGCTCGGCAAGACCTCCGGAGGTGATGGGCTAGACTTGCAAGGGAAGTGGGTAGCTGCCTGTCAGAGAGGCCTCTGCACTGCTCCTCAGAGGCCAGGCCTGGGCGGCAGGCTCGCAGGCCCACTCCCACTGAATAGACAGAAAAAAACACTCACCTAGGCCTCACTTCCCTGAGCAGAGCCTCTAAATTCCTCAGGAATTCACTCACAGTTAAGATTAGGTAGCTCCAAGCCTTACTTCAAATCTATAAGCTTTATAGAGGTATTTAGATCTGAGCTCCAATCATTTGTTCATTCATGTGGTGGGTGCTGGGATTGCAAAGTGATATAAAACTTGGTCCCAGTCCTCAAGGGTCTTACAACGGTGTGGGGATTCAGGTAAGTCAAGGAGGGAGGATGAAACCACACAATGAGTATGGCTACACTGGGGGGAAGCATTGGGTGCTGTGGGAACCCAGAGGAGGATGGGTTGTGAAGAAGCGGAAGCCGTTGAGCTGGGAGGAAAGAAGGAGGTGTACACATGTGTGAAAGCACTGAGGGTAGCAAAGGGCTTTCGTTTACTATTTGTGACTTTATCCGTAAATATAAAAGTGACATAACCTTACTGTGCTGGACATCTTCAGTTTGTCTTCCAGATCTCTCCCCTTCCTTCTCCATCCTGCTCAGTGCCCCAGAAGCTGATCCAGGTGGATTCCTCAGTGGAGTCCCTTGAACTCTGGTTTATGGCTGGGTTTGGCCAATGGGAGGCACCAGCAAGTGACCCAGAGAACGGTGGAGAGTGAGGTCAGGGTTACCTTCCCCAACTCTCTCCCTCACGGCGGCCATAGCCCACAGCTCCTTTCAGGTGGCCCATCCACACAACTCTCTCTCTGGCTCTGCAGCCCTCCCCTCCCCATGCCCCTTCAGATATGGGGTGTAACGGCACCCGTACTTTCACCATACCTGAGAACCGTGCCTTCACATATTTCTGTCACTGAACTCTGCCCATACCTTTGTAAAATGTCCCTTTAATAAAATATTTTCAAAATGTCCAGTTTGAATGTACGATTTGTTTCCTGACAGGGCCCTGGATGATAGAATCATCCATTAGATAAACTTTAGAAAACAAGAAAAGGAAAAGATCATCA